TTCAATCTACAATATTGATTCCACTCTCAGATTCTAATCCAATGAGCTCATGTAATAGTGGCAGAAATAAAGTCTAAGTATTTGGGGGGGAAAACTTTTAGATAGAAAGTAGTGTCCTATGCTATGCACTAAGATCATCAAACCAATGCAGACACATTCAACAGTGAATTTACCATACATTGAGAAGTTTTCTCCTATTATATTGAAAGATGTAGAGTAAGATTTACGGACATGTTGGGCTATGTGGCATTTGTCAGATGTGCACTCAACACATCCTTGAGGACTCGTGCCAAGTGCCATTTTGATTCATGACACGCTCACAAATTAGTGTGCATCTCCTGCGATAAACCTCTAGCAATATATTTTTCTGTGTCTTATGGTCCGTTAGCAATTTGTCCTAGATTCTTTTGTCTTTAATTTTTTACTAATATTTGCGACATACACTCAGAATAACAAATTACAAAAGTCCCAACTCCTCACTAATTCTTTTCCATGTACTCTTTATACAAGTCCCAACTCCTCACTAATTATTTTCCATGTACTCTTTATACTAGTTTAACAGAATAAATTCAGTAGTTAAGCTTGGAGAGATTGGAATTTAAGGAAGCAATGTCATCAGATCATTTCAAGAACTCTTCAATCTATCATAGCAAGTTGAATGAATCTACTATTTCTGCGTCACGCACCAGGTGGGAGTCCATGATTTCAATTTCGACGCCCATCCAGCCTCATAAGGGTGACATATGATGTACTTACCACTGAGAAAAATCTCCAACACTTGTGATAAGCTGCAGAAATAACAAATGCGTGAGGCCCTGTACCTGTACCAAATCAGATGTCTCCAAACTCCAAAGAGGGGAACGTCAAAAGGATAAAGCTTCATTTTTTTTGTGTGTAATAAAGTGTCCATGTATGAAATACGCTCCTAAAGTAATCGCATCGTGAGCATGTGAATGTAATCAGTTTACTGCCCTACAAAATTAATTGTGCTCTTTCATATGCACCTGTTTGGAATGGAGTTTGATATTGTTATACGCATGATGGATCCACCCTACCTACCTATGCAATCTACAAACTCCTTCCTTCACTCGCACATAAGCCGGATCAGGCGGTAAACATCCCAATATTGAGATCGGAAGGGGGGGTGTAGCAGTTACCTAAACCTAATCCTAATTACCCCATCCACAGAAGCAACACGTAAATTTTACAAGAATAATAACACTAATAATAATGGCAATCTTAAATGATGTTGAGATCGCCAGGAGGAGGAGCTCACCGAGAAGATGGAAGGGGAGGCGTGGCCGAGAGGAGTGAAGAGAGAAGTCCATAGCGCAGGAAGAAGAAGCACCACCAGTCAACATTCATATTACCAACCTTTTCCTTTTAAAGTTTAATGTTTAATGCTATCAGTCATTGCCAAGAGATTTGGCACAGTGATGACGTAAGGTTGATCATAAAACTAATATTAGACTCTCTATTTGGAGTTCCCACAGGACACGAAACTAATGATTTTTATGATCCAGAAATTTAAAATATGAGAATATGTTATATATTTGCAGTATCAGAATTCAGAAATGCAATTACCAGAAGCTGAAGGTTCATCAATCTGGAGCAATCAAGCTTCAAGATCTCCAAGGAGCAACAATTGTTGAACACCAAAAAAAGGGGGAAACAGAAAAAAAACTATTAGTGGACATGTAGATACAACCAGATGACAAACTAACAAAGATATAACAGGAAATTGATTTCAAATTAAGACTATTGAGATTGAAGCATGCTAGATCCACTTCCTTCAGGTTAGCAGACAAGTTAAGGTTTAACTTAGATAGATGAAAACAGCAAGCTGAAGACGTGACTGTAAATTTCTTAATGTTGGGACATCCAATACAGTTGAGGGTCTACAACTTCTCTTGAACTTTTCATTTTTTATCCGATTTCTTACGAGTCATAATAAATCCATAAATGCCATGACAATTTGAAGCATAAAATGTTAATAGGAAATAGCAGATGCAAGCAGTTCTTTATTGAGCTCAGATATGATAAATCCTAGAAAATTACCTTTACTGATAAGTACTTTCTCCACCTTTCGCTACGTTGTAATGACGCAGGAATTAGCTGATTCATCCACAAATAAAGCAACTTTAGGGGAAAAGTTTTTCATGAACATGTGTGCAAGTGGTATAAGATGCAAAACTACAGCACTTAAAAATATGCACAAGGACAAAAAGATTAAACAAACAAGAGGAGGATAACATTAAAACTTAAGAAAAGATATTTCCAGTAAACACCCATATCTGCACCCTCTAACACAAGAGTGCATGTTAGCATAAGATTATTGTCCAAGATTTTGTGAAGTGAAAGTTCAAGTTGGCTTGTCAGATCTAGCATGTGATTTGGTCTGAATATTTTTTGCTGCTCAATATTATATAGATCGAGATTGGATCAATTCACTAAAAATCAAGTTCGTTTTGTATTAATGAGCACTCTCAGCATAATGTTTGTTCAGTTAAATGATTCAATTTAAACTTACTTTCTAGTTTCTCAGGGAACTTCATGAATAACAATATCTTAGGAATTATTTTCATATATGCATGCATTGATAAAGCATATTCAATATTTTCAGAATGAGTAATAATTTCAAAATTTTCCATGAAATTAATATTCAATATAAAAGAAAACTTGTAGAATAAAGTAAATTACAAACAAAGCATTTATCCAAAATGTTGATGATTTGTTATTCATTTTATAGAAATTAATATGGGTAAGTTGGAAAGCGGATTCAACCCATGTACATGTTCACAACATGTACACTAAAGCATAGGTTGAAAGCATTTATCCCATATTTGTTCTTCTATAAGAGTAAAGCAAGGTTAGTTCACTCTCAGAAAGAAACGTTTGTCGTCTTGATGATGATTACTTAATACCTGAAGCAAATCGTGCCAACACACGATAGGTTGCTCTGACTTCAAACAGCGAGCTGTACTATTCGTGCCTGGGGCGCTACGAGCAAAGCCAGAAG